ATGGTAAACTTGTTATCGTGTATTGTGTAATAAAGTGTCAAAAATGGAAATAAACTCATATCATTGCAGTTTGTAAGATTCAATCATTCATTATGTTCAGAAACTCAGAATGGAGGAAATTGGACATTTGACACTGTTCTATTGATATTTTTCACATCTCATCAACTTTCTTAGTTGATCATATAAAAATGGCAGTAAACTGTTAATTTTGTTTTATATTAAAAAAGTGTTAAAAATGGAAAAAAATGCACTTCAGGACAGTACCGTCTTGTCTACATTTTGGCATTTTCAAGGTGTGACTTTGAAGTTCCATGGGCCTGAAGACCTTTGCTAGTCACATTTTCTGAATATCCATGATACTAATATTTTATTATTAAAAATTGATGGTTATTATCCTGTTAAACATTATGTAATATTGCATCAAAATTTGAAGAAACCCCTATTTTGGACACTGCTCCCTTGATGACCATTTAAGGAAAACTACGGTAATTTGCCATGAATTTCGAACAGTAGAAAATAATTAAATTTGGGAAAAGATCGTTCTGGCCGAAATTCATGAAATGGAGGTGCTCAGAACTTCCAAAACGTTCGAATTTCATGGAATTCTGTCAATTTTGACCGGAAGTTGTCTGTTCGTCGCTAGGCCTTCTGTTATCTTCTCCCGACGATCTATTTAGAGTTACCATAATGTATGATGTGTGAGTGTCGGTAATTGCGACCAAAGGGATACACGTACTTTCACCCGATCACTGTGTACGGCCCATAGATAGAGCAGTACTGTTGTCTAGGGCCGCAAAACAGCATCGTTATCAGTAGTGTCGTTTTTCAAAAGCGATTCTGGCAGCCAGAAACTAGTGTTGTTTTTCAAAAACGATCCTGGCGCTCAGAACGGGAGTGGACGGAGGGAGAGACGGCCGACGATTAGCGTCTGCCACGGCCAGATAACCTTTACTATGGAAGCTTAGTTTTACCGTTGCTCCTTTCCGTGCACTGAAACCGAGACGACAGCCGATCGGTGTCTGTGGCGCACGTGCAGGTAGCCTTCATCTGCGATAAGTGTCTTCCGCGACCAGGTTCGTTGCCTTTACCGTTAAAGTCGGGCGGAGCTTTACGCGCGAATGCGTCCTCATCTCGCCGTTCGCGGGTCGGTGTCTCCGACGCATACGTAGCCTTCCCTGCAGAAGCCGGCCTCGGCACTACGGCCTCTCTCCTTCGTGCGGGGAGGCCACTACGACCGCATCTATCGGTATGTGCGGCGCACAGGTAGCCTTCACCACGGCAGCCGAACTGTGTATACGGTCTCTCTCCGTCGTGCGCTGCGACCAAGATAACCGCTGGTTGTTGTCTGCGATCAAATATACTAGGTTTGGGGGGGGGTGCAGGGCGTTTTTTTTTTTTTTTTTTTTTTTTTTTGCTCAGGCAACCCAATCTTGACCAGCAGCAGCAACTGATTTCCTGGCGCATAGTTGCGTCAATGTACGCATTTGAAAAGCGTGTACGTTTTGTCATTGAAACCATCTTCAAACAAACGCGAGAGATAGGTAATCTAAAGTAAACCGAAAAAGGCAGTTTTTATATTCGTTCAAGGGACTGGAAGATCGTCAATGGGAGATCGTGAGCGATCTGAGCGCAACAATAAGCCAATTTCCACACTAGTTCAAGGGACTTCGTTACTGTATTCGTCAGCAAGAGATCGTCAGCGATCCGAGCAAGCATAGAAGCTTGGACTTTTTGTCCATGCTAGAAGGCAATTTTCATGTAGTCAGCAGGATATGGTTTGCGACAGGGACGTAACCAGGCATACGCACGGATACACTACACTATAATTTTTTGGCCAACCATGATTATTCTCTATAAATCTATTGTACTTTTCAAGGAATATTATCGAAAATTCCCTTCGATTATAAGTTAACGTCACCTGAATGTACAAATTCTCTGTATAATTTATATATGCACAATTGTTCTGACACCCTTCTCGTTTGCTTTCACAGAACTGAGGTAAACAATGCTAGTTACCATCTGAAGTCGGATCTTAATCATCCATCTAGTTGGAACTTGCTTTACCTCTTAATTAGAGGGCAAAGTGCCCTTCAGCTCACAGGTAGCTTTTGTCTTGAGTGTATCGAACGCGATATTTATCTCAGATAAAAATCTACCTGTGTGTTATTTTCAAAGAGCCTTGAGGTACTCCAGCAGATCTGGGGGCACTAGATAAATCTGATCATCGGGCTAAACAAGGAGCCAGAGAAACAAAGGAAGATTGATTTTTCCTGCAAAGCTTCAAAGAATTTTGACACGGACTTGATCCAGCTTAACCCTCCAAACTAACGGGGTGGCATGGGCAATTTTTACAAAATTTACAAACAATTAAACTTAGATATATTACAATTTTATCCTTTAATATAATTTTGGCAGGCATGCACCCGCATGTAAGATGGGTGATGTCAGTAAGCCCCTAGTTAAATAAATATACCCTTCTGAGCAAGGCTTTTCCCAGCGAACCGTCCAGCCGTCATTTGGACGGCCGCTGACATCACCGGACGGCCTATATTTTCAAAGTCTTGGCTTGTCGGGACAGCCGTGGACGTTGTAAGAAATTTTCTTAGAGTAATTTGACGTACCTAGCTTTTATGATGCGTCACAGATGAATGGTACTACTGTACTTTGTAGTGTACGCTGATATTCAGTCACGACGAAACTACTTCCTAAAGCTTACAAAACACAATAAAATGTTTCTATGAACTTTAAGATACACATTCCATGCCGTATGCAGCAGTGACAAGAGTGGCCTTCATGCGGCACAAAACACTAAGCAAACTACAGGGCAATTTGTGAAAGGGGACACCTTCCGGGCCTTCATACGCACGGCAACTGACAAAGCTGATTGACAAAAAGGAAAATTTCAAATTTTCAGCGAGAGATCGTTCGCAATCCGAGAGAGACCAGGAGGCAATTTTCATATTTTTTAAAAAGACTTCGTAAGCCAAAGGGCGAGACAAGAACGCAATTTTCGTATCGTCAGCGGGAGATCGTTCGCAATCCGAGTGAAACGAGAAAGCTCATACTCGTTCAGTGGCTTTCGTTTGCGGAAGATCGTCAGCCGGAGATCGTTCTCGGTTGTTTTTAACCCTCCCTCCCCAATGGAATTTATAATTTTTAAAAATATTTTTCATTTCATTTGTACATTTCAAGGGACTTCATTAGCGGAAGATCGTCAGCGGGAGATCGTGAACGATCTGAGCGAGACAAGAAAGCAATAATGGTAATCTTTATTGCAGCTCTTAATATTGCTCTTTGTTCTGTTACTGAAGTCTCTACTGTTAACAATGCTATCGTGCGCCTCAGCAAAACTACCGATCGCTATCTCACACCGAATACTGCGGTAAAGAAACAATAGTCTGACAGTACAACTGTTAATAGATTCTCCTGTTATCTGAATGAATGGATATGACGATGTTGTTTAGCGTCCTTAACTAACTGTACCGATCGTTATCTTGCTCCTTGGGCCGCACACGTAGTACTCAGGTAAAGGTACGCTAGGACAACATTGCCGACTGTTAGATCTTTATAAGCGCGAAAATAGCCGGTGGCCGATTTTAAGGTGTACGAAATTCACGAAATCAAGATAGCGCAAAATTGCTTACTGGCCGAAATTCATGGTCCAGAAAAAACTCCAGACGGCCGATTTTAAGATCGTTCGAAATTCAAGAGCCGTTCGAAATTCTTGGCACTTTACCGTATGTCGCTTANGAGTAGCAATAAACGAAAACACAAAAATTTGGTTGGCAATGCTCAATGATTTTAGTCAGCAGTATTCTAAATTGAGTAAATTTTGGTCCAGAGTTCTGTTGAGAGAGCTCAAGCAAAGTGGTGGATTTGTTCTAGCAATGGGGTCTATGGGGTGTGCACATATGTTAAATATCAGAAGATGATAAAATTATCAAACTGCATTCATTATTGATGAATCATTATTAATTTTTTTCTTTAGATTCTGTCTTACCCTGTAGAGGAAGAAGAAGGGAGCAGGGCAGGCTCTGCTAAAGGAGGGAAGGGAGAGAAAAAGGACAAAAAGAAAGAAGAGAAAAAGGATGAAAAGGGAAAAGATAAAGTAGGCATTCTTGATTTTCTCAGAATTTTATTGATATCAAATTGCACGCATTAAGCTTTTAGAGAATGCAAATGTGAATCACCCTAACTACTGTACAGAGGTCCCTTACTATAAAGTAAAAATAATGCTCTAACTGCAGGTCATCACCACTGCTAGTAGTGTAGATGTCTTTTGACATGCATCAAAATACGAGATAAAAGATGCTTTGTACAATGTAACTTTGGAGCCAAAATATGTCACAGATAGCAATTGCATGCTTGTTGTTTACTGCACCATAAAACAAATGGCAACTCTCTTCTACACATGTTGTACTTGCATGGTGACAGCCATGCCAGGCCCGTAGCCAGGGGGGGTTCGTGTGGTTAGAAAGAACCACCCCTTTTGCTAGCAAAAGGTCCACTCTGGGTAAAATTTGATCCATGTACATGAAGTTTTTATGGAAAAAGGTCCACTTTTTCAGAAAAAGAACCCCCCTTTTGAAATTGCTGGCTATGGTCCTGCATGCCCTGTAAATTAAAGAGTTATAGAACTCTGAAAATCAGGTGTGATTGACATCAGAATTTTTTTACTCTTTCACAGTTTCTTATGAAAATGTTATGTAATACTTATTTTAATATCTGTGTGTCTTGCATTTGATACAACTGTATCTTCTAACATTATCTACTGTATTTTGTATGTTATCTCTTTCCTGTGTGCTTCCATGCTTTCTCTAAAAGAACAAAAAACAAGCTAATTCTTTGAAGGTAAGGTTCTGAAATATTTTAGTATATATATTTGCACTCACATTTGGTATAATCAGTAAGTTTGAGTTAAGAGGGCACATGTGTTATTGATACAGTGGATGTGTAGTGTATAGCTGCTTCTATGTATATGTACTTGTCTTCCAACAGGTTTATACACCAATGTACATAATGGGTTATATATATATATGACTGCCTGTAAAACTTTTTCATATAGATTGAACCAATTGTTAAATTGTGTGTTCTTATATCTATCCTGGTTTACTGCACATTTATAAAGAAATGATGATAAACATTTGACACTGCACTGCACACTTGAATATTGAAAAAAGATACTTTTATTGCATCTTTTATTGAACCTAAAATATCTAATAACAGCACACACTCATACTTACTGTGTACACGTACATGTAATTTTACATTTTTTATTAAAAATTTAATTTTTCAAATTTCTAGGGTGCTGCTGGGAAAGGTGACCCAAAGAAAGGGAAAAAGAAAGGTGAGCCAGAGCAAGAATTGCGCCACCTACCACCAGAATACACCACACTGGCACGCTTCATAGTACCATTGGAAGATTTCCTAGAGGGAGAGTTTGTGTTTGAGAATGTCTACATGAAAGAGAGCTCAGATGCAGGGTCAAAGAGCCCATCTAATGCCTCAGAAACAAAGAAGGTTGGTTCTCTGCTTGGTATTTTAATATATATATATATATATATATATATATATATATATATATATATATATATATATATATATCGTATATCTACTAGTACTGTCGCATATCTACTAGTACCTTTTTTTTTTTTTTTGTTTTTTTTTTTTGTAATAACAAGAGATTTTGATGATGCACATTAAAAAAAGCATTATTTAGCATGAGTCAAGTAGAGCGGTATGTATATTATCTGAGTAGGCAGTGTTAGAAATTAAGGCTGGACCGTCTGCCAGGGGCTGACAACTTTCAGAACGGGCTGAGAAGTTTTCTCACCCAGCAGACATTTCGAGCCAGCTACTTTTCAAGATGGCTGAACTTTAGGTCCAACAACTAATTTTTCTAAAAGGCAAACACTGTGAGTAGGTTTAAAGATTTAAATATATTCTCTTTTAAGGATGGGAAAAAAGATGGAAAAGGCAGAAAAGATTCTGCCAAGAAGAAGGACAAGGATGCTGGAAAAGGTGACAATTGTTGCTATCACAAATGTTTTAAGTTGGTATATCGAGTTTGGGGATACTCATACATGAATATGTAGCACTTTGATCAAAGACATGCAAATATTTTTCCCTTTTACAGTAAACCTTTATTAACTAAACACACTTGAAGGCACTATTTGATAATGCACACTATTTGATAATTAACCTTATTTGTATTTTTGTTTTAACACCAGCTACTAACAAGACAAAGAAGAGTCCCAGAGGTATATTCATTATATAATTTCCTAACATCTCCATGGTTGTTGTTATATGTGACAAAATGCTACTATTGTAGTACATGCCCTTTTATGTAGCAATGATTCCCTGGCTGTAGTGGATTTTTATTAATCTTTCTTATATTTATGAAAAATTATTACAAAACTACTTTGAAATGTGTAAATATTAACATAATATTATTTCAAAGTTTGCTTTAAGACTGTAGGTGCAGATTCATAATTAGGAAAACCTGTTTTCTCTCCCAGTATCTGGCTGTTTAATCAGTTAATCTTTCAAAGTTCTTGTTTGGTTGCATTGGTAGCTTGGTTTATGTTCATCAGTTAATCTTTTTGTGTGTCTCATTATTTGTTTTCAATTTCTGTTCTGCTTTAAAAACTCTCATCATTTTGTACTTATATACATACATACATACATACATTTTATCTTGCTTTTAAATGATTATCAGTAGAAGATATAGTAATTGTAACCAGGATCCTGGTGACAATTTTGAAAAACAATGTTTGTTTCATCAAAGATGTATAAGATATAAGATATGTCCTTGGTTTCATCAAATTATGTTTGATATAGCATGTTTGTGAATTACTACATCCATTCAGCTGTTTGATTTGATCAACTAAACAATTGCATGCTCCATATTTTTAAATAAGTTCTGTTATTAAGATGTACCTGTACATCATGATGTGATATGTTGATTGCAGTTTCGTTTTTCTAACACAGATGGTGGCAAAAGCCCCAAAGGAAGAGACAAAGAAAAAGACGGAGACAAAAAAGATGCTAAAGGAAAGGCAAAGGGGGACAAAGCAGAGAAAGGAATAGGAGATGATGAGGAGGAAGTTCTTCCACCCCCTCCTTTGGAAGTTCATGTAGCAGTGTGGATGCACCACTGGAAAACAGCCATGGACTCAATAAGAGAAGAGGAAGAACGGAACAAGCGTTTAGAGGAAGAAAAGGCAGCAGCTGCTGCAGCTGCAGCAGCCGCAGAAGAAGCAGAATAAAATGTGGCAAATATGGCATAGCTTATCCTGTACATTTTTTCACTATGAACTTGTGCACTTGAAAATAGCTAACACTTCTGTGCTGTAACATAAAATGTAATTCTTGCTGTTAATATTTAAATAGTATGTTAAATTGTTCATAACTCTTCAAGTCTTGTATATACATTCAGGATAGCAGTGGATTCAACTTATATATAAAGTGAACTGTAGATGTCTTAACATCTGTACCATGTTAAAATTGGCTCGTGTACAAGTATTTCTAGAACACGGGCTTTTTGAATAATTGAAACTGTTGCTGAAAGTTGTTTACAGCTAAAATTGTTTACAGATCTTTGGAAACATCATATCAAATTGCCACAGTTCTGCAGACAAAAAATAAATAAATAAATGAAAAGTAAGAAAAAATTCATTGTTTGTATGCAAAAATGCTGATAATCCAATATGCCTGACTGTGATAGATACAAAAATTCTTTATTCTTTCAACAAAGGTGATATTGAATTTTCATTAGTACTTGGATGGCTGCTATATTCTACAAGCAGTGTATATAATATGTTCATGATACAGTGAAATTATGGAAATATCAGGAACAAAATAGACATACATTGTACATACAGATATACTAGTAAATGAAAATACTCCCCACATTAATCATTAGTTTTATTCATTCATATGCATGCCAGTTCATTTACTTATTGACCATTCATTATTTTTAGAAGTACATTTGTTTGAATTGGACACATCAATATCACTCTGACTTGATGGTCTAGTGGACAGAGGACTCATTGAATTAATGTTGAAAAGCAGATGAATAGAATATTTCTGTTAAACATAACATGTATGGGATTTTCCTGCTCTATAAAAATTTTCTCCGATAAAAAAGAAATTTTCCCCTACTCCAATATCATTGATTGACCAATCCCAGAACTTGTATACAATGTTTTATACCATTTTTATGTACAGACACAGATGTGTCTGTACATATTGCCATCACCTGCGTCTGTCGTCGCCGTCGCCGTCGCCGATCATGTCGCCGTCACCGTGCACTTTCAGCGTTAACACCATAAGTGGAAGGCAATTTTACTTTTTGGCTTTATATTTACAGAGCTGACTAATATTCAGAAAACGCAGGTCAAGTTCGACCTTTTTCACTTTTTAGCATATATNGCAGGGGCGTAACCAGGCATACGCACGGATGCACTGTGCGTACAATTTTTTGAGCCAACCATGATATTATTCTCCATTAATTTAGTGTATTTTTCAAGGAATATAATCGTACCTGGGAATTTTCAAAATCTGTGCGTACAATTTTTAAAGGTCTGGTTACGCCTCTGTTTTGTGCATTGTTATTGTCTGCTTTTTGTCTGTACATTTGACAGCTTTGCTGCCTTGTTAATTAAATAATTAAGTTTTAAATGACTGGCTAGTCACTTAGATGACTGTGTCATATATTTCAGAAAGAAAAACACAGGTATCAACACAATGTACCATTTTATTAGTTCTGTCATTGAATTAGGAAAGATAAGTAGCTTTACAGAATATATAACTTTGGGGCATTTTCGGATAGTATACCCCCCCTCCCCCTTTTTCTGTTTGAGAAAATTTGCTCCGCACAATCAAATAAGCCTTGTTTAACAAACACAGCATATATCATATGCTCTGGTATTTACTTTTCTCATAAGATGTACCAAACATCAATTTGATCATTATATCTCATGCATCTAATGTAGACAACAGTTATGCCAATCAATTACAAGAATTGCTTTTTTAAATTTTGAACAGATTTTTTGTTCTTAAGATAATTGCTGTTTATTCAAAGGTCTTCCACTGCGAGTTGATAACCTTCGCCTTTAAATCACCTTCGTACATTGTTTGTGAAGCCAGCATTGAAGACGGTGTCATCTCAGAAATGCCTCTACGCCGGCAGCTTCCATTAATTACATTCCGGTTGACAATATGGATGAAAGCAAACTAATATTTTATTAATAAAGTTATGAGTTTATATGATATACCTGTGTCTTATCGTACTAGCGCACATGCATTACTTCGTCTGCCTAAGCAAAATCAAATGAAGATCGACCACTGAACACATATACCAAGGTTTTTCAAAATGAATGTGATTTAGTTTGCAGCCTTGAGAAAATAACGTAGATCTATCATTGGTCATTGGAAGCTGAACCTATGCAAGGCGGGACAATACGACGTCACACGGATGCGAGACGTTGTGTGGTATCAAGCTCGTGCCAGAAACGTCAACTTTTGACGCTTGTGGGTCAACGGAATGAACGATGTTGTGCCAGTGTTGGTGCTGTCAGAGTATCTAGAGATAAACAGGTGAGAACAAGTTGTAGCAGTAAACCTATACTAGTTACAGTATCGTCCGTGCTTAAAAAAAATGGCCCCAGTTTTATAGTGGTTGCATCCCGTCGGTCATGTGGAAAATGACTCGTGAAATTTGATGATGTGAATATCGTAGGTTATATTGTAGCCTACATTTATTTTAATACCCGATGACAATGTAATGGAAATACTTGTTATGTTGTAATATGTATTAAGTCAAATAGGTTCATTACCCTTAGGTCACAATTGCCTGGTCGGTCTACGCTTGCCAAATGATTGTCACAGGGAACTAACTAGGCCTATCCGTGAAAATTTATTCGTCGTACTTCAGGCAGACATAGGTAGGCCCTATTTTCATTTCCAATATAGGCCTACTGTGTAAAGCCTACAGGCCTACATATATTTTTTCTGTGTATTATGTTTGTCTCTAGGTGATTCTTTTTATATAGATTTTGCTTTGCACTAATCAAATATTCATGAATTTGGGTAATGCGAAAAGAAAAGGCGAAACTATACTGTATTGTTACAACGGTCATGCTTGATTATTATTCATTGTGAGATGAAAACCTTTCTTGTTTTTTTTTTATCTATCAATTTATTAATTAATTTTCACAAAAGAATAAACAACGGCCATGAAACTACGTACAAAAATATTTCGGTGCGTGTATAATTGAAATAATATATGAAATTATTAGAAGAAATTATTTGATTGCGTTGCCATGTAAAGCATGTAGATTCGGACATGACAGACCGAACACAGGCGCGAAGAAAACGCTTTGATAGTTACAACATTATATCCTACGCCATACACGGAGAGTTACTGTCTTTAATTGATTGGCGTTACGTGTGACAATCTCTGTTTAGACAACAGCATCCCACTGGTAAGTTCCCGTTGTATCAATATGAACAAATATTAATTCTAGTATTTGCAGGTTTATGCCAAGTCTTCCGTAGGCAATTTTAAATCTGTGATTTCGACCGTAAAATATTGTTGATTTTATTCCTGCGTCAGATTGATTTACCTGTGCAAACATATTATTCGTGTACACTGCTGTGATATCAATATTTCAAAGGTAATGGTGAAATTTCTGAGAGAAAAATTACTTCGTTGCTATGTGATATATAAAATTCGTCCTCAAGTTATATACCAGCTTAAAGAAATGAAATAGAATTTTCTTCATTGCAAATAAAAATGATGGGAATGAGAAGAAAAAAAAAGAATTAAAAAGGATAAATATTTCAATATTCATATGGCAATGATATGGAACAAAAGAGAGTACCAAGTGCATAAAATACTTTAGGGATAAGGATTCCATATAAAGACATCGGCAGTATTTGAATAAAACGTATCTAAGTGCAAACTGTGTACCTGATTTTCGATTCTCCTTTATAAACCAGATGAATAATTAATAAGATTTCCCGAATGAAATTTAACCCGCAGCTGGTGGGAATGACAGAAATCGCGTGGGAGGAAGCTCGATTTGATCAGCTTGACACGGTTTCATTATCAGAATAGTAAATTTACATAACGAAAGAACATTTTATTGTTAATCTGTTAATTTGTTAGATGCACCTGCTTTGCTAAGATAATTGTCTTTTGTGTATACACGCATATGAACACACACACAATCACAGCATGTACTAACGCACGCACGCACGCACGCACACACACACACATTCCTTTTTCAATCTGGATTCCTTCTTATATCTTTGTAATAAAACAAAAGTATTTGAAAAATAAAAGTAAAAATCAGGTGGGGTGGCTTATTTCACAACAATTTGTGCTATTTAATGTAAGCAGCTTGCTCTATCTTTGCAACATTTCAAGTTACAAGTGCTTTAACTAAATTCTTATCGGGTTATTTGTTGTATCATTATCCAGCCTTCATCATTACTGGCAACAGTTCGATTTGAATAATTAAGCGGTCGCGAAAAGTCGTGTCCACGCGTGCACATCTCTAAACTATACGAGATTTGCAGTGTTCAGCGGCACCTAGAAACCCGGTGCTCAATGCCAATACGTTACTTGTTCTCATGAATATTGAATATTCATACATCACGCATTGTCCAGGCATAGAAATACGAAATTTAAACGGAAAATGCGCAGAAATGGTAAATTATGGAAAACAATCTTCCTGTCGCAAATTTTCAAAAATATTACATGTACAATATGACATCTGACGCACAGTTTTTTCACTGTCAATACTGGGAGAAATTTCTTATGCGGAGTCTAAGCAGTTCAACAACCGAATGTACATGTAGAGTGAAACAGCGACGGGTTCTTTAATTAGCGTTGTGTATGCCCACTGTGATGCAGATCGAAATTTCAATCGAACATACACGTGCTCCAGCTATTTACCCAGAGACGAGTCATAAATAATGCAGTATCGATATTTCAGGACCTTTTGTTTTTGAAAAGAGTTGTATTGTTAGAAAATTTGATTTTTCTTATTAGGTCAACATTCGAAGTGCTTTTATGGCTGGCATACTTTGTTCCTGCAATAAAGGGGATGCCAGAAGAAATCGTTAAGCTGTGTGGCTTGAACAGCTGTGTCAAACCCGCCGTGGACTCTTGTTGCATGCGGACGGAGGCTCTTGGGCACCCTCTTACCAGAACGCTGCCTGTCTGCTTACGCTCCAAGGTGCTTTAACGCTTGTCAGCTGGGGAAATGATCTTCTTGCGCATGAAACGCCAAATATTTATTCTCTGAACAAGACGTTACAGCACGGAAACGGTAAGTCATAAGGTCCAAGCTGACAAATTCGTGCATTTATGACACACTGATTTTTTTTTTTTTTCTTTTGTGATACCTTGTCCATATTGAATAAACACATGTGCTAAATTGGAGAGAAAATACTTATTAAGTATTAATTTTCAATGCAATAGGTATTTCTTAACGTAATAACAATGGCAGTAAAATAGAATTTAGCTTTAATTCACGGGAGAACGGGTTATTTGTATAACTTCATAGCCGCGGGATGAGGAAATAATATGGCTCTGTAATTAAAAAATAACTAATTATCGATGAGAAACATTTCAAAAAGGTTTTCTCTGATATCAATTGCACAAGCAACCCACTCACGGATTGATTTTTACAGGGGAAGAACACTAATTATTAACGTCCTTTTGTAATTGATATCATGAGATTTCTGTGCTTTCAATTCAGTGCAGCCAAACCCAAAGTCGTTGGGAGAATTTTATTCTTTCTCTTGTGTGTGACTAACATATTTCCAATTTCCACAGGAATATATCAGGAACAAAAAACATGTGGTAGTATCGTCCGTCCATCGTTAACATGGAGTGGCTACGGCAAAAATTTTTTGCCGCAAGTGATCGCCAAGACATTCCCCTTGTCGGAATGAATGGCAAATACGAAAGATATGCATCAACAGAGGACGACAGCATTTCAGTAAACATTGACGAAAAAACGCGAAAGAAAAAGAAGATGGACAATGTAGGCTACAAACTTGCCAAGCGCAAGACATTTTTCGCCCGCAGGCGGAAAGTTGCGGATGCGACTTTTGCCCTGGCCCTTTTGGGAATCATGATCATGATCGTGGAAACGGAGTTTACGATTAGTGGAACCTACTCTAAAGAGTCAGCGGCGTCTTTCTTCATGAAGACGCTTATCACAATCTCAACTCTGGCGCTCATGGGTTTTTTGGCCTGGTACCACGTCATTGACGTGAGACTGTACATGATAGACAATAACATTGACGACTGGAGGCTGGCGATGTCCAAAGAGAGAGTGCTAAAGATCGTGGTCGAGTTCATCATTTGTGCCATTCATCCACCACCGGGAGACACAAATATCGACTGGATTTCTAAAAATATGAGGACAAACGACCAGACGGTAAATACAATTTCGGTGGACATCATATTTTCTCTCCCGATGTATCTTCGGCTCTATCTCATCGGTCGAATTTTGTTGCTGCACAGCCGGTTGTATTGCGACGCATCCTCGCAATGTTTAGGTGTGCTCAACCGCATCCATTTCAACTTTGGCTTCATCTTCAAATCTCTTATGAACATCTATCCAGAGCGAGTGCTGGCTGTCATCGTCTGCGGAGTCGTATTCATTGCTAGCTGGTCTATTCATTTGTGCGAGTTCTCCAGTGAAAATCCCGAGGAGCACCTGAATTTGTGGGACTCTCTTTGGATGATAACCATCACCTTTCTCACTGTCGGCTATGGTGACACGTATCCCCGATCTCCGTGCGGGCGTGGTATAGCAGTGCTTACCGGCTTGCTTGGAGTCGCAATGACCGCTTTAGTTGTGGCGGTGTTGGCTAACAAACTAGAACTGTCACGGGCTGAAAAGTACGTTCAAAACTTTGTGATCGACGTAGAGCTAGAGAAAAGTCTAAAAAATTCGGCAGCTAATATTCTACGCGAAGGATGGCTAGTTTATAAGCTGAAAAAGCAACATGCTGAAAAATCACGCATCCGTGCCCACCAAAGGAAACTGCTTAAGTCAATAGCCCAGATTCGAGACTTGAAACAAGAAATACGGAAATCCACAGATAATAACATTACTATGGTGGAAATGGGTAAACAGCAACAGCTAATTTATGATGACGTATACCACATGAAAACACGACAAAAAGAACAAGAGGCTGAATCTTTAGAAATGAAGGAAAAGCTTAACAGCATCGACAGTAAAGTTGAAGACATACAACGAATCCTCTCTGAACTTCTGCGAAAACGCACTGAGCGTTCGACTTAAAGTGGTAGAAACTTGTTGGTGTCACCTAAAGGCATTTGATTACTTAAAGACGAAGTTCAGACTGAAGTTAAAGTAGAGCTTAACATTACAGCGCAATAACAATAACAACAACAACAACAACAACACACACAAAAAAAAAAAAAAAAAGAAAAAGCAAAGATCAACTTTTACCATTGTTATTTACACCTACAGGCTCAGCTTTGCATGGCGGAGGAATTCATATAATGGCTAATTATTAATTTATTATGTGAAGCCATACATTCCGATTTGCTGATGGAACATGAGACATGTATATCAACCACAACGGTTCTTCGTCACCAAATCCATTTTATCGGTGAAACGTATAGCAAAGCCAGGATATGTTTAATTAACTGTGTTAGAAATCAATGGACATCCGATTGATGCCGTAGTACAATACTAAACATACTGTTTGATTATCAATAATGTACATTTTATGTAGTTAGCTATTTGGCAACAGAGTGGTGTAATATGATTATAGATAAAATTAACAAGTAGTATGCAAAACTAAACGAAAAAAATAGTATTATTTTTTCAGAATTTAAGTAAGGTTTATGGTGCACTTTGTTAGAAAGGGACATTTCACTTTAAGATATTAGATATAATGTATAGAGCTGAATTTTCAAAACTGAACGCAGTTTATTCTTCCATCACGCCATTAAATCTTCAGTAAAATTTATTGATTTACATAAGTAAATGATTATTAGTTCCGACTAACGGGCGTCATTGCGTAGACTGAACATGTTCATGATATTATGTTTCCGACAGGAAATAAGTTTCTCCCAACGATATACCATAAAAAGAGCAGGACCTCGTATGTGTTACGAAAGGCTGCCACTGTTATATCAACTGTGTATGTGGTAATAGTGGCTAAGTCCCGCATTTTAGTTTGGTCCATTGTATGGATGATTATGGAAAAATTAAGTATCATAGCACTGTGTTGATCAGCTATTTAAAATAAAACAACTAAGGAAAACAAACCCAATACCCTGATACAAGACATCGTCTGAAACGTTATAGTAGGGTTTTCTTTGAATATATTATTCAGCGAGAACGAGGCTTTCCTGGGACTTGTAGTTACTGAATCGGGATCGGAGAGCTGTTGGTCTGTTTAAAGATTAATGTTGCATGTGGCATATCCTCGTTTTATGCTAGTACTAAATATTTTACAAAGCAAATGTACAAAGTGCATCCATACCTTGGAAATTCATTTACATTAAATGAACATAAACATACATGTAGACATGACAAAGCAAATATGATTAATTATGAAACGTGCGGATTGAGCATTTGATATTTCATTATTTCAAACTGCAATTTCATTTCAAATACAAAATAAACTGAAATACGACGAGCATGTGTACTTAACCCCCCTCTCCTCCTTTTTCTTTAGAACGTTGGGGTTCTTTCAAAATACTTCTTAATTACATACAGGTTACGCGGGAAGCCAATTAAGACGAATATGTCAAACACGGCACTAACATTGATTCTTTGCATATCCGTCAGCTTTAAGCGGTGTGTGGTGATCATTAAACCGAAAATCACTTCCCTGTGGGACCTTTGTCATATCCTTCAGTGAAAACAAGTTCTGTTTTACTTCCATATAGTCGCTGTTGCCATGAGGATTAGCATTCGGTGTCAGTTCAATGTTGATTGTGGTACTAATTTTTAAAAAATCAATGGATCAAAGTGATGGGTATTTTCATGGCGCTTTGGGGATTAATCATCGCTATTATACATGTACATTATCATGAGCGTATCGCATGCTTCCTAAGATGTTTGAATTAATTGATTATATATAATGTGGCTTCGCTTTTTGTTCGGCAATGTGGTTTGTTTGTTGTAGTAAAAGTGTCCGTCTTTGCTATTCACATCTGTTTCGCTTTCAGTGCGATGTTTTTGTAGTCGCTAGCCGTATTTAATACATCTGACACCAAAAACACATTAGGTGGATAATACATCGAAACCCACTTGTGGCCACTTTTGTGTACGGTGGCTTTGCATTGAGAGTAATCAAAAGTTTTTGTAAAAGGCTGTGGTGCTGGATGTGTAAAAAAAAAAAAAGCTAAAAAGATGTTCCACACAGGTTGGTCTCTTTCATTTAAACCTGGTGAACTGAAGAGGCTACAAAATTATCAGAGTTACGGTCTTAACAGTTACTGTCACTGTTTCTTTAATAAGTTGCGGCTATGGTGAACTCTAATGAATTGAATTTGACAACTATGCCTTACACCCAAAACAAATGTAGAGACGCAATTGAAGTCAAAGGCATGCTCTTAAAAATATTTAGTGCACAGACTGCAAACTATGTTTGATTATTTTATGGTCCCACATGAAGAAGTTTGTATCATAGTTTCACTCTCCTGGAACCATGAGTAATAAAAAATAATTCATCGTGTAACCCCAAAAAGTAACATACGTTACTGTTACAAATGCAAAACGTCCAACTGTGAAACGCTTTACCCACTTTGAAATTTCAATCATCACTGGTTTTGGTCTTTGATTTAACTCCTACAAGTATATCGTTGTACAAATTATAATAATCTTCTGTATAGAGCAGTATTTGAGCGACTTAAGTTTGCTTGTCACTGAATATTAAAAAACAGGGAAAATACACCCTACCGACAGTAAAATAAGTATTTAATAAATTATTGTTCCTTTGTGATCCAATATCAGAAATGTCAAACTATCATGGAATCACAATATATTTTTCGGTCGGCAACAGGAAACACTGTTTTCTATTGCACCAAGTACTTGAACAAAATTTAACTTTTTGACAATTTTTCTGGGGAACATACGTTGCCTAGATTTAGCCATGACGCAAAGCCCCTTGAGTTACAGTTTAAATATTTATAAAAACATCCTTACGTCATGTATACTTTACCACTACTGAATCACTACAAAATATATCGGAACGCGGTATAAAAATTAAATATACATGATCCGGAACGTACGTTACCATTTAGGGCTCTTTGCGTAATGTAAAGATATGGTAAAAATTAAAATTTGAATTTAAATTAAGACAGTCGTGGATTTTTTTCTATAAACATATATCTTTTTAAAAATTGAATACAACTTTGAATTCATTCAATTTTATTTTTGGACACGCCAGCATGTGAAATGCACCTCTATATTGGGTTTGGGTGCTTATTTTTCGAGTTCTGACGACAACTGCACACACACACACACGCAGAGAAGTCAAAGAAAGCAATGATTATATGTCACTTTCTGTCACTTCGACTTCATGAAAATAAAATTTGGCCTGTAAATCGATCGAAGTAAATCGTCACTACACATTAGCTTGACATTTTTAAATGGAATAACGTGCCATAGATTTAGCTCATCTCACGCAGTTAACTGGCAGGTGGAGTCTCCAATGGATCAGAAAATGTGTCGTCTCTAGGTTGTCAACACATGATATAATTGGCGTGTAATCCTGCACAAACACTATGGATAGTTCGATGGAAAGTTTCTAAATGCGGGAGATGTTATTGTTGTGGGCGGAACTTCCTTAAGAAAAGATTATGCAACTGTTTCTGATGATGATAGTTTTAATTAACAGTCTTAGAGCCGGAACTACTGAATTCGTTCTTTGTTATTGAAGGCGAACAATTAAAATAGCAAGCCCGAAGAAGTCGATAGAAAAAACAATTTCATGAAGCATTTGCGTCACGTAATGATTACCAATAAGTCAATTCTCCACCTGCTATTCAGTATGGTGAAATCTATTAGAAACGCGTCCTCCATGCATTAAAACTTAGTAGAATTATATCTTAAGTTATAGAATCTCTGGCGGAAGCTATGATCAATTCCAGGTTTACTTACCTCCGCATGCTATATAAGCAAGGGAAAAATACATGAAAATAGGCAGAAAAATAAACATTCTTTAAAATATAATTTTACACAAAAGTGTATAATTACCAGAGATTTAATATTACAAAACACGAAATGAAAGCTTTTAAAACATAGTGAATGAAAGTTGTAATGTTTAGTCTGTTATACCTCCAATCGATATTGCATAGATGCATATTTGGTCAAACATATTACATTTCCCATTGACAGAATTACACCGCAGATAAGTTGAGGTTACCACGTCTAAAGTATGTACATGTAGTAGAAAGTCAAAGACACTGCCCCTTTAAATTTTCCACACAGTCCAGCAAATCATACGCTTTTCTGCAAAACAAGTACGTTTCCTAAAACTCAACCATGCAAGGCTTGACATTAACGCAAGATGCCCAGTTTGGCACTAGGTTTGAAGTCACTCATTCGGCCTCTGCGACCAATGTAATAGCCCTGCACGGCACGGGCAATAATCGTTATGAATACCTTGGGGTTAATCTAATGTCTTAGGCTTAAAAATACTAAATTGATATTTTCCCGCATAATCTGATGACAACATGACTTCTGAATTAGGTCATTTCATTCGCAGATTAACTTTTGTGTGAGATGCAGTTTGCCTGAATAAATGTCAAAAAAGTGCCACATACTGGCAACTCTTTTCTTTTAGAATTCGTAATTAATTTCTTTTAGACATCATAATTTATTTACAAAAATAAGATTGACTTATATATTTCACCGAGTAAAATATTTCGGACAGATGCATAGGCCCTATGTCCACTTTAAGTTAATATGTCAACGCTTTCGCAAGTTTGTTTTGCATTTTTGGAGATGAAATATCTCAATATAATACTCCATACGTTTCTTGAATAATACATTTTTTTTATGAAATGGCAAACAACGAATTTAATGTTTGCCCTTTTCTTTTAACAGCAATAGTGGATAGACTTAAATGTAATTTTGTCATCTATTAAAAATACTGCACTCAAAGATAATTACTACATAATTTTCCTGCAATGTTTTAATTTTGACTGATGTTCTTAAACAGCTTGATCAACTGGAATAAAATGCAATATCCTAAATAAATGATTAAATGAATAAATAAATATATTAATCTATTGATAAATAGATTAATAAATGAGCAAATCAATTAATATATGAATTTATTAACTAAATATTTTTAAAAGGTGACGGTGATTTACGGAAGACCTGTTACATTGCACAGAACATTTGATTAAAAAAACTACGGAAAATAACAGCAAATCTTAGCAAATCTTCCCGGTTTTGGAAGAAGAGTCCTAAAGAGTATTGTTCTTAAATAATAAGATATTTTTCTTTGGAAGGCGAATAATGCGCCATGACACTTATCGGTATGTCTCAATAGTCCGTGACAGTAATATTAAGAAACTTTCCCTCTAGAAAATTGAGTTTTATGACATTATGAAACCAACCTTGAGTACCAGATATTTTATCAATTGAATTATAAGCAAAAATAAAAGAAGCAGAAATATAAAGGTCTGATATTGGCCCATCAAGACAAATCTGACAAAATGTTGTCAAACTTCATCTGTACCGTTTGTGCTGCATTGAAAGAGATAAAGAGACAGAGAAGGGAAAGGTAAACATAATTTGGTGGTGTAAATTATGCATTACTTATTTATTTGTTTTTACTTTTCCGATATCCGGTTCTTGTATCGTTTCCTGTTTAGGTGAGGAGCTGGATAAATAAACATGCCAGGTGTTTGGACCAGTGGCAGCTTGCTTATCTTATGCTACCTCTAATAAGGGTCAACAATGATTTGGCTTTGTGCTATCGATTTCGGATATACACCGTAGGCTATATGGATGATCACGCAAAATATAAAACCTAGTTCTAAATTTGGATGACCTCATACATTGCAAAAGTTGAAATATGTGCCCTCAAAATGTGCTTTTTAGTTTATAATATTTATCCATTTCAACTACAATATCAAATCAAACAAGGCAGCTATAGAGATTGGAGTACAGCTTAATTAAGATGAATATGAATCATCTAAAAACACGCTTATAAACAAGTTAAACTTATATATATTCATGTATATCAGCTATTTTTTTGACAATTTGCATCTAAAATCTACTTGAGATATTTAAATTGAATGTGAGCTAGTTTATCCTTATACTGTACACACTTTACTTAACGCTTTAAAAGAGAAATTAAAGGGTCCAGCTAGTAGAAATGTGTCTTTTCTTTTCTATTATCTACAACTTATCTATTAATCAAAAGTAGCGAAATGATTCTATGCTCATTTTATTTTTCTTTATATCCTTTTTTTTTTTTTTTTTTTTTTTTTTTTTTTTTTTTTTTTTTTTTTA